TCCCCACTTATGCAAATGAAGCCCGGGAAATTCAAATCCCGGGCTTCATTTGCAAGTGCGATATGCATACATTACCCCGCTAGTTTGAACTAGCGGGGTAGTGTAGACATACCCTTGGATACTTTTCATGACTTTCAGTTTCAGTAAGCATCATTGTTAGAAAATCCCTGCCTGAGAAGATATAAATGGAGATGCCTATCTCCTAGAATTGGAAGGGACCTTGAAAGGTCATTGAGTCCAGTCCCCTGCCTTCACAGAAGGACCAAGTATCATCCCTGACAGATTTTGCCCCAGATCCCTAAATGGCCTCCTCAAGGATTAAACTCACAAGGCTGAGTTTAGTAAGCCAATGCTCAAACCACTGAGCTATCCCTCCCCCGAAGTATTGCTGCTGTAAAGAACCCACACTAATTTTTGGCATTTAAAAAAAATATTATATTGGCTCATTCCTTCAGAAAATAAGGTTTGCAGAACAAGGGTTTTAGTTATAGAGCAGTTTACGTGTTGCCTAGCAATGTGTATACCTGGATTAGAAATAGAAAAATAATAATACTCGCCTGGATGGCTGACCTAGCACAAACAAGCTTTTTCTAGAGCCTTTCTGTATTTCTCCCTTACTCTGAGTTGTGCTTGTATTGTGAAGATTCTATTCTTTGTATTATAAATTCCTAAATCTAATTCCCGCAATAGAAATAAGGAGCTTTGGATGACTTTAGTAATGAACCATTAAGACTTTCAGTTCTCACTAGACTTGTGGCTGTGCATTCTCTGCATGACTGTCTTTTTTCACGTAATCTCATACAAGGCAGGTACTATTCTGTTTCTCAGCAGAGTGTGGTGAAGGCACAGGCTAGAAACTTTGAAATTCTTAGTTCGTTTGGTGTTATCAAATAGACTAGATAATGTGGTGAATATGACAGACTCTCCATTTATGGTCCATCTGTGGTTTGATCCAGTTTGTCCTCTTCAGATATGCAAATGCCTGCTTCTTAGATCTGATGGGACTACAGACAATTGTTCTGCAGATGCCCACATCTTCCTTCTTGGGTGGAAATCCTGCCCTCAGTGAGGTCAATGCCAAGATTTCAAAAGGATAATGATTTTATTTCTGTTTTCTGCCTCTCTCTAGAGGGAATTCACAAACCCCTTTTGGCTCTTTTCATCTCTAATGTGCTTAGGATAGTTAATAACTCTCCACTCTAACAAGACTTTCCAAGCTTTCTTAGGTATTAAAAGATGTTTCCCTATTGTTGGATAACTTCTGAATGAGCTGATCTTTTGACTGCAAGTCAAAGAGGTAATCCTACACAGAGGTAAAAGTTGGGGGAACTGAATAATAAGTCCATCCAATGGAGGCTTAAACAATTTTCATCTTTATGTTTGCAATTTCAGATAATTATTGGCACCTGTAGTGTCTGGGTGTATCATTTTATGGCAGACAAATAACAGATGCTGCACAGTGCCCTCCTCACCAGGCAGCCCTTAGCTGCCCAGAGAGCACTGCATGCCACTCTGGCAGCAATTTAAAGCACCTGGAGTTCTGGCTACTGTCACTGCCGCAGTGGCAGTGGCTAGTAACCCCAGTTTGGACCTCTGTTCATTTACATTTTGTATACATTACATATTACTTAATCTTTATCCAGCTGGATTTTAACACATCAACGCTTTGGGTTTTAAGTAACCTGTACATTTCACATTGCATAAGAACAGCCATATTGGTCAGACCAAAGGTCCATCTAGCCCATTATCCTGTCTGCTGACAGTGGCCAACACCAGATGCCCCAGAGGGAGAGAACACAACAGGTAATCATCACGTGATCCCTCTCCTGTCATACATTTCCAGACAAACAGAGGATAAGGACACCATTCCTACCCATCGTGGCCAATAGCCACTGATGGACCTAATCTCCAGGAATCTATCTAGCTCTTTTTTGAATCCTGTTAAAGTCCTAGTCTTCACCCTCTGGCAAGGAGTTCCACAGGTTGACTGTGCGCTGAGTGAAGAAAAACTTCCTTTTGTTTGTTTTAAATCTGCAGCCTATTAATTTCATTTGGTGACTCCTAGTTCTTATATTCTGGGAATAAGTAAATAACTTCCTTATTCACTTTTTCCAGATCAGTGAAGATTTTATAGACCTTTATCATATGCCTCCTTAGTCTCCTCTTTTCTAAAATGAATAGTCCCAGTCTTTTTAATCTCTATTGAGATGGGAACCGTTCTAAACCCCTAATAATTTTTGTTGCCCTTTTCTGAACCCAACTTCTGTATTTTTTTTCCTGCTAATATTGGAGTATCTGGGCCATGTCGTTTTATGTTATCCTGACTTAGGCCTTTTCATAAAAAGGGATTTTTATTACACGTTTGTGTGGCTTTTAATCTCAAAACATGCAATACAATATCACATTCATTTGTCAGCAATCACATCATTTTAAGCAGATCAGCTATTGTATGTAAAAGAATTGGCAAAACCACAATTATGTCATCCAAAACTTGGCCGAAGTGTTACCTCATCTGTGCTCATTCACTGCCCATGATTAAACAATATGACTAGCAACTCTTTTAATGTTCCCACTTGGCAATTGCTTGTTTTTATATTTCAATATTATAAGTCAGCATATGTTATCCCTTTGATCTATTTGGGGAGGGGAATTTGGAAAGCAATTATTTAAGGTCAACATTTTTATCTTATTTAAACATGTTGTTTTTATTCAAAGTCCAATTTTGTTTATGAATCATCACACATAAAATTCATTAGAAATTTCCCTGGAAATGCATGTTGAGAGGCGTCTCAGTTTTAGGGACTTGATAATTGCTTTTAATGGTGCCCAACAAAGCAATACTTTGTTGTCTCAGCTGCCTGCTTCCTGAATGATGCAATACAGAGAACTCATTGCAAATAACGCTCTGCAATATAGAACAATACAGATAACTCTTTCTCCCCTTTTATTGCTTATGTTTTGAGGTTTGCTTAACATTTCTTCTCTCAGTTTTAATGTTTTGCTTTTTAATTCTAATTTGTTCATTGTATGGGTGAGAGCATTTTCCTTTGCCAGCATATAGGCTCCCTTGGCTTAATTTTTCTCTCCGGCTGTGTAAATCTGAAGCAATTCCATTGTTGCCAATCGTGTTATACATGTTTTACATTGGTGTAAGTGGTAGAAAAATCAGGTCCTTTGAATGGTAATGTTCCTAAACTTATCCAAATAGGGTATTTTGTGCTAGTTTGGAATACGATACTTAAAAGGAATAAAAAAAAAACAAAATATATCGAATCAGTGGCAAGCACATTTTGAACAGCAATTCTTCAGATATCCTCATAGATCCTCAAAAATCCTACCTTTGATATTCTGTAGGGTAATATCTGATTTGTTTCTCCTAGATTTTTTTTTCTTTTCCAGAACTTTTAACTCTTGAACCCAAGGTGAAATAGCTCAGGAAAGCTCCAGCCAAACTGAAATATAGAGTGGAGGAGGAAATGCTTTTAATTTTAAAAATCCAGTTTAAAATACAGAATGTGGTACAACTTAATTGCATGTAGTTTTTTCCCCATATGCATCTCAATGTACATAGCTAAAATAATGGAAATGATACTATATGAATTTGGGGACACCCCACAATATATTCCCTTTAATACTCTGAAAAAGAAAAATCCTAAATGCAGGATTTTTTGTTTTGAATCCTACATTTGCATATGCCTCTGTAGTCCCTAAATAGATGTACATTGTTTGTTTAATTTTCTAGACTTAACACAGCCATTCTTCAATTTCAATTACATCCTTTCACAATACATTTAATTTGGGGCTACGTCTACACTGGCCCCTTTTCCGGAAGGGGCATGTTAATTTCATGAGTCGTCGTAGGGAAATGCGCGGGGGATTTAAATAGCCCCCGCGGCATTTAAATAAAAATGTCCGCCGCTTTTTTCCGGCTTTTAGAAAAGCTTTTAGAAAAGCGGAAAAGAGCGTCTACACTGGTCCCGATCCTCCGAAAAAGGGCGCTTTTCAGTGTAGACCTAATGTATGTTGACTCCAGCTACATTAGTCACATAGCTAGAGTTCTGTACTTTAGGTCAACTTACTATGGAAGTGCAGACATAGCCACAGAGCCCTCTTTCTTGTGCCAGCCCAGACTAATTCCCATCCACCCCAAACCTCAGGCTGCAGGGAATGCCATTGCATTGTGCATAACCAGGTGCTTCCTTTTACCTTTTTAATATTAGGGACCATCAGTGTGAGCAGGTATTCTCTATATTAGAATGGATCTCTTAATTACAAATAAAGGAATATGAGTACTTTTTTTAATGAACCTGCTTTTTGATTAAAGATGCCTATTTTTCTGACTTTTTTTCAAAGAAAGCAATATAAAATATAGAAATTCACTTACTACTTGAAGTCAGTTGACACAGGCTTTGGCTAAGGGGCTGTTTAATGCAGTATAGATACGTGCCCTTGGGCTGGAGACTTGGCTCTATAACCCTGTGAGTTGGGAGGGTCCCAGATCTTGAGCTGTCGTCCTAGTCTAAACATCTATACTGCAACTAAACAGCCCTCTAGCCTGCGCCCAGTAAACCTGAAAAGCTGGCACAGGCCTGTCATGAGTGTAACTGCAATGTAGACATACACTCTGGCACACTTTGTGGCTGCCAGGATCAGTACCAACCTCCATGCTCTCTAGTGCCTTAAGCATACCCTGTCCCAGAGCACCAAACCTTTCTGAGGCAGCCTTAGGATAGTTGAAAGCAAAAGACTAGCAGACTTTGTAACGGGTCCCTAAGCCCAATTATTCATTTCTTTAGATAGCACAACAACTACACAGATCCACCCAAAACAATAAATAAGTTCACCTACACACATTTCCATGCCTCAGTGTCCTGACCTCCTTTGGGCTTAGGTCAGAGCCTCCCATCTGCACATTGTTTCTCTGCCAAATCATGGCACCTTTCTCTCCATTGCAACCAGTTACCTTCTTCTAGGGATGCCCGTTCTCCTGACCAGGCAAGTTAGCAATCCTGCCTCTTAAGTTAGACAAATACCCTGGACTCTGAAAGCATGCCCACCTCCCTCCCTCGGGCCCAATCTAGCTAGGGATTTGAGTCTCCTTCTCAGCCTTTGCAGTATCACAGGGCTGTACCAGCATCTAGTCTCTTTGTTCCACTGCTGGGGAAAATGCTGTGACTCTAGATCCCAGGCCCCTTCAGAGATATTGGAGAAAAATGGGTTACCGTAGGTTTCGGTCATCCCATTTTCCTAAGTTGCTTCCATTTGAATGGGAACAGTTCACATTAATGACGCCATTGTTAGCCAGTGCCCCTAGCTCTTGGAATTTCAATCCAACATGGAGGCAAAGAGGCAATAGCTCCACGTTCAAAATGGAGTCTTCAGTCTGACCATAGACAAATGTAGATGCTCCCCAATGTCAGACAAAATTTGTACACTTTACACAGTTTCATTAGCGAAGTGTGGGGAAAAATACCAGTTGGCCATGTGAAGGAAGACTAATAATCTGACTGGTTAGTGAAGAATAGTTATGTAATTCGTTAACTTGGGTTGAATCTAAAATGATAAACAAATAAATAAGGGCCTAAGGAAATGAGGATGGAGTCAGGCTATTCTCAGTAGTGGCAGATGACAGAACAAAAAGCCATGGTCTCAGATTGCAATGGGAAAGGTCTAGGTTGGATACTAGGAAAAACTATTTCATTGGGAGGGTGGTGAAGAACTGGAATGGGTTGCCAGGGAGTGGAATCTTGGTCCTGCTTTGAGCAAGGAGTTGGACTAGATGACCTCCTGAGGTCTCTTCTGACCCCAGTTTTCAATTTAATCCTCAGTCCTTTCCAAGGCAAAACTTCCATTGAAATTAAAATATAACATTTTAGATGCATATCAGTTTTTTAAAACTTGTCTTTCTTCTATCCCATGGTGAGTGCTCTCTTTCTGAAGTTGTGGTTTTATATGAGCAAGACTTGATATTATAATGCATTAGACTGCGGACTTAGTGGTGACAATGTCCAAGAAATATTTTTCTTACATGAAATTGTAACTGCAAATTTTGGAAAATATGATTATTAAATGTTGTGACTAATGAGTTTCAATTTCTGCAAGTCAGTACAGGTTGAACCTCTCAAATCCAGGACTTTCTGGTCCAGTAACATCCATAGTCCTGCTGGACCAGAATGATGCTGGACCCGACATCCCGGGAGGCTGAAAACAGGAGCCAGCCGTGAGTTTGGTGACCAGGAATCCCCACCTCCAGAGAGCCCCAGTGGGATTGGGGCCAGCGGCAGGGTGGGAAGCCAGCAGCAGGAGTGGGACTGGTGGCCAGCAAGGGAGGATTGACTTCCTCTGGTCTGGCAAACTCCCTGGTTCAGGACTGCACAGCTTCCGAGGGTGCTGGACATGGGAGGTCCAACTTGTATTAATAGTAGCAAATATTTTTATCATCTTTGATGCTCCAAAGCCCCAACTGGGATTGGGACCCAATTGGGCTAGATGTTGTACAGACAGACTGGACAGATTACTTGCTCATTTTGTATACTTTTGGGTTTGTTTGTGTGCATTTGCTGTTGATGCACTGATTATCAGAATGCTGATGCTGAACTTCCCAAATGAATATTTTCTAACTGAAAATTCTGTGCTATTTGCAGGTCAGAAAAGAGTGGAACAAAGGGGAATGTACATTTTAATAAACAAAAACATTAGTGACTAATTCCTGCCTTATATTCTTCTTCTCTTCCTCTTCCTTCTTATCCCATCTGAGGTTGGATTATCATGCAAGTATATTAGCCTGACTGCGGCAACAATGAGATCCACCTGCTTATTGTATTCTGTGATGCAATTCATCCATTGTTTCCTCAGATTTTCTCAGGGTCTCTTTCCCACCATCTTCTCCTACTAAATACATCATTCTGAATTGTTGAATATATTGTGTTCAGTCTCAAAGGGGAAATAAGGGGAAAGAGATGAGACATCAGATGCCAGTGAAATGTCCCTACCTTTAAGAACCAAGTGATTTTCATTAACATACATATCAGACTTGAATCACGTCTATCATGCAAATATTTGCATGTATACATGCCTATGTGTGCATGCAAGTATGCTATATAGATAAAACCGGTGAATGTACAAATGGCATTCATGTTCACAGTAACAAAGGGCAATTGAGAACCTAAAGACTAAGAGCCAGAGTCCTGCATTCTGTGAATGCTGAGCGGTACCTTATTTTGCAAATAGTACCAGCGAGAGTAATGGCATTACTTCAGGAATAAGGTACTCTTCGTTGTCACTAAAGATGGTAGAATTTGGCTTGAAAATGTCCTTAACTTCTGAGAAGAAACTAATATCTGACTAAAATAAACTTAGTTACTAATTTCTTATTAAGACCTGAACTATTGTTTCTGCATTCCCCAGGCTTTTAAAATAGATCAATGAATAGGCCAAAACTGTGGAGGAAATAGTAAGAGTCCTTCATTAATGCCAAGTCTAAGGAAATTAAAAGTCAATGATTTTCTCTTGGGGTATGTCTACACTTGCCCCCTAGTTTGGACTAGGGAAGCAAATGAAGCATACCAAAGTTGCTAATGAAGTGTGGGATTTAAATATTCCGCGCTTGATTAGTATATTCGTGGCCGGTCGCCATTTTAAAATGCCTTTAGCCCGAATTAACTCGCCACATGAAGAAGCGGTAGTCCGATCCAAAACCCTTCCCTCGAATTAACTGTTACTTGCATGAGGAGTAACAGCTAATTTGAGGGAAGGGTTTTGGATTGGACTACTGCGTCTACACACGGCGAGTTAATTCAGACTACAGGCATTTTAAAATGGCAACCGTCCGCTTCATTTGTATGCTTCATTTGCTTCCCTACTCCGAACTAGGGGCAAGTGTAGACATACCCTTGCAGATTTATTTCTTGATCCCTATAAAGCTGATTGAATGACATGAAAGTTCCCTTGCTCTCAAGAGACAATTTGGCTCATGTCTAGGTAGCATTGTGAACAACCACATTTTCCTGTCATGGTACAAGTGTGTATTTATTGGATTATCAGAGAAGAACCTAAAGCAAATTTATGGATCTGAGCATACCTGAAATTTGGGGGTAGGGACTGGCAGTCCCATCCAAAAAGGCATGGCTCTTCTGCTAAGCTTAATTAAACTCTTCATTCAACTATATTCACTCTCACTTTTGGGATTGAATGGAAGGGGATGTTAGATAGAATCAATGGTTTCCTCTACTATGCAGAGTCTACTCCGTATTTAACGTGGAATGTATGTCTAGACTACATGCCTCTGTCGCCAGAGTCATGTAGATTAGGCTACCAGACATAGGAAAATGAAGCGGCGATTTAAATAATCGCCGCTTCATTTAAATTTACATGGCTGCCGCGCTGAGATTATTTAAATCGCCGCTTCATTTTCCTATGTCTGGTAGCTTAATCTACATGCCTCTGGCGACAG